TGTACATATAGCGTGCGTACATATGGATCGACGGATTCTGTTTCGACTGCGCGACCATTCACCAAACGCACCGGTCCGTGAAAACTACGACGAGCATATTATTATGGAGGCGGTGGTGGGTTTCGTGTATATGTTTCTAATTTAGCTAATGACCGGTTGCCCTACATAATATTCAATTCTGCTAATGTTGAGGACGAACGCCCCTTATAACATATATTATCGTTTGCGCCGGCCAGTATACCACCCACTGATGTACAAAAATATAGAAGGTACCGTGTACCATTTATATAAATAATAAATACGATTGTTGTGTGACGACTCGTTGACGATGTTCTTTTTACTCACGCCCTGCCCCTGTTCGATTGTAATAATATCATCATTGATTATATAAATACTTATATTTTTAGGTACCTACATTTATATAGAGTTATAACCAACATACACTGATAATATAAATGTTTCGTCACAGAGACTACAATTTTATTAGTTTCAGTACGTTGAAATTCAAAATTAACATATTTTTTTTGAAGTTAAATAAGTTATATTTGAGGTGCTTATATAACTCGAACCATACATATGTTAAATTTATTTTTACCCTCTTGAAAGTTCAAATTTGAGTTATTAAGACTTGAGTCTTTACTGGAATTTAATATATGAATTATAATATAATATATACGTGGACCACGTGTTAATGATATTCGGTCGTATATTAACAGGTACACTACTCTATGTGTATGTATGTATACATTGTACACATACGCGTACCATACGCTACCTATATTATGTGTCCGTGACGAAAGTTCGACGAGTTCGCAGTATAATAAATATTTAATTTCGAAGTCAATGTAGGTACATCATAAACTATTCCGGATCTGATTAAATATTTCGAAACGTATTGCGCCTGATTTATACTTTAATAGCTAATTCATTATACATAGACTAGCGAGCGCGTGTCGGGTCTATAGTATATCTACTAAAACTATACACTATTAGATATATTATGCATCTATATTCCTAGGTATACTAAAAGCAGCATGCATGCCTCGGGACAAACTTTTGTATCCCATACAGTTTCAATAACTATATGAGTATTATATACAATACAAACACCACGGCATATGATATATCAGAATAGCACAAAGATTTCCCGACTTTGATTACGAAAATATTAAAATAATGAGAGATGTGGACATGTGGTGGCATAAAATCATAAAGAATAAGCATAAACATTATCGAATATAAAAGTATAATAATATATAATATAATATATACTTTGGACTTGGTAGTAGTAGTAGAACTCAACGTGGACCCTTTTTATACGACAAACTTAACGAGTATTTTACCGTCCCGTCAATAATAAGGTTATTTTTCTTCGTCGTTGGTATTATTATTTATTATTAATGTTACCTATACCGAAAACGTTCAACAGGCTCGTTGCGCGCGACGGTTGTTGAATTTATTGTCGGCGCGAGGGAAGTTAAAAACCGGCGGTCCCTTTGTGCTCGTTAAATTTATGTCCACCCCCTGGTACACACAAAAACACACACGCACTCACACATATGGGTTTTTATTATCGTCGTGAGGGCGGTCCGCGATTAATCAGTTTCTTTTTTTCCTACTTTCTTTTTTTCTCCCCCGATGTCCGGCAGCAAAGAGTACAATTTCCTAACTGGTGGTGATCGTGGGACTGCTGCTGTGTAAGGCTATAATACATGTAGTAGGTATATTACAGCCATAGTGTGCTGTGGTGGTGGTGGAGGGGACGAGGGCACGTTCTCGGTAATTGAACTGTCCCCAATTGCTCGGCACAAACAGATTATTTTTACTGTATATATATAAACGAGCGTATATAAATAATATAATAATAATATATATCGTATATACGAGTATAATATACCCGTCGCTAATAAAATCAAACTGGCCTATATATATACACCCGTCCTCGTGTCGTAACTTAATTGCCTGAGTGAGTGTGTATGCGCGTACGTGATAGTTAGGGGAGAGGTGATTTGCAGAAGAAGATGTTTCCGTGTTTTTATGTGTCCGTCATCGTATTAAAACGGAATTACGCTGGGCAAATCGAAGAAACCGACCGTTGTTATATTATATTATAAGTACAGTACATATCTATTTTGTAATTATGTATACTGTATAGGTAATAATATTATCAAATAGTTTCTGCAGTTTCCTTTTTATTCCGGACGTCTTGTTACACTCAAGTCACTTCCCCCTGGGAAACGTGGAAAAAGGCTATTTTTATTTTTTTTATAAAGGGATGAAAATTCATCTCACGCCTACGCCGCCGGAATGCCAGTTATTCGCATATAATATAATATACGCGGTGCACCGGCGACTGGCGGCAGCCAACCACGAGCGCACATACCCGTACACACGGACAAACACAATACCCTTGTGTGGGGAGGTTGCCCCCCCCCTTTTCAAAATCAATACCTCGCACCCTATCGCCCGCGGTTTTCATTGTCGCCAGCATGGAAATCCTCGCCACGAATAATATTTTCACTAACTCGTTCCCCGTCACTGCACCACCGACCGCGGATCATATAACAATGTAGGTATACAATTTAATAGTATTATACACACACGGAACACAGTCGGAGACGAATACGTCCGACTTCCGAATAATACAATTGTTTGTGTCAAAGTCTGACGTATTTATAACCTTATAGGTATACCTATATTAGTATAAGTACCTACATGTTATACTGTTTCGTTTATGTTTCGTCTTAATAATATGTAACTGGTATAGGCACTGCAGTATATATATATATATATATATATATGTATATAAACGTGCGATTATTAGTATTACCTGAATTCTGGCTTCCGGAAGAGATATGTTATCCGCCAGCCTCTCTCTGGCGAACACGTCCGGATAATGTGTTCTCTCGAATTCTGAAAGCAGAATAAATTTGATTACATTTATATATTATGCTCATCAGAGGCACGTGAGGTGAGCTATCTTAACGAAACAGCGGACAAGTTACAGTTAAGTACTATTTCTTCTGAGATGCTTATGACTTATGACTTTTGTGTTTATGAGTATACTTTGGTTGGAACTATATATTATATAGACTTACGAAATTCCCGCCAAGGCACGTATGGGTTATAGGATTTTGGTATAATTCTTTTTATAGTTTTTTAATGAAATAAATTAAATTGAGCATAATCAAATTACCACTAATACCTACAATTAATATAGGATAGCCGATATAGGTACATATCTAGTACCTATACTAAAAGTTGAAATCAATTATTTAAAAATATGTATTTATAATTTATATTGTTCTAAAATTATTTTAATAGAGGTGATTTAAGAGTGGTCATTTCAATTATCCTAAAATACGACATACAGTTGAAGTTGTTGAAGAGGTATTCCTTATTAATATTAAAGAACATTAGCACGTGTTTTGTGTATATTTAGCAATAAAATATAAAATAATAGGGGTAAACCGTTTTGCTTTAAAAAGTATGCCATGTGTAGAAAATAATAACTAAGTAATACTAATATAAATATTTGGTAAAAAAGTCAAGTATATACGGGTTATCCGTTTTTGAATTACAAAAAAAAAAAAAATTGTTATTAGGTATAGTGTATATAGATAGTGTATACGCGAGTGTTACCTACTTTGTTAAAATAAACTTCAGACGTTCATAAGTCATAACAAATATTTGTGAAATTATGCTCAGGTATTTTTTTTAAATCTATAGTTATAAGAATTATGAGCAGCCTATTGTATTAAGTTTCCAGATCTTAGGTACCAATGTTTATAAAATATTTTAGACATATTTTTCACACAATAAAAATAATACACATCATAGTTTAAAATATTTTATAACTGGAAATCCAGTCAGATAATTATATAGATGACAACAATAACTTTGGAAAGGCCGGCTACATTTTATTATATTATGTTAAATGTCTCAAATTGGGATATTTTGTTTGTGATTATATTATACTATTATATAGGTATATTTTTTTGTCAACCAAATTCTTTAAATTATATTATGTTACAACTTACAATCGATAGTGATCATCGGGTAATAATTACGCTAAAAGAAGCTGATAGCAACATTTATATGCCTTATGATATTACATATATCGGTTAACAAAAATTGACTTAGGAACCTATACTGTAAATTAAGATATTTTATCTTTTGGCAGACACAAATCCTACTGCAAATACTTATTAGAGATTTGTTAGCCTTAACTACCTACTATTTAATATTTTACTAGGTACTTAATATTCTGAATTGAGACTAATGACTCAATAAATGTATAGTGTCAAACGACATTGATCGATTTATAGCACTGAACGAAGTTTCAACATGAACTATTACAATTTAGTTTGAACACTACAGATTGAAATTAATAGGGTAACGGCAATGTGTTAACACTACACAGTTAGTTTGATTGACTAATGTTAGTTGATAAATAATGCGAATAACTTACGAACAATTAACGGTAAAATCCTAATTGCAATTGACAACAACAACAACTCAATAGTCTAAATACATATTGTAGACCGAAAAGGGTAAATGATTAAATGAATATTGTGCACGACGAGAAACTAAAACTTCAGAAAAATGTTTTCTTATCTAATGAATATAATATGATGCTTAATATAATAATAATATCGATTGCCAGATAAGATACAACGCAGTATAGTGTTTTATATAAACCGAGAATATAGATCACTTTTAAATCGATGATAACTATTAAATCTTTTAAATACTAATTCGGAATCTGGTTCTAAATCTAAAATATTATAGGTATATGTGTTGATATCAAAACAGAATTCGAGGGTCACTGAGAAATGAGAATGAGCCATGGATTTCAAAACACGGAACCATATGATATCCGTCTATTGTTAGGTTGAGATTTCAGATATATTCTGCATTTCTGCCTCGCGAATTTAACGAATATGTATGATATGTGATACACGCTTTTGGTGTTTTATACGTATGTTGACCACCTAAAACTAACCTTTTTCTAAGCTGTCTATTTGGTCGTTGGTGAAACTAGTCCTGTTTCTTTGCAGTTTCCTTTTCAGTCTAAGTCTTAGTTGCGAATCGTCGTCCGCCGACGAATTGTGCTCCGAGTTGCCATCGGACGTGCTCTCCGGTGCCAATTCAGCAGCTGAAACACGCCATTTCGAATTCAGCTAAATTCGTTTAAAAAACATACGGGAATCGGGAATTTGGGAACCCAATAAGTGATAGAGTATACCTATATAGTCGTAACTAAATATAGTATATAATATTATAATATATTCAAAATGAATACTCATATTCATATGTCATGAGAAATTCGATTCTTCCTATTGGAAACTGTATCGGATCTCTGAGTATTATATTATATTAAAGCGGTTTTTGGCCGTCGTAGTAAGACGATTCAAAATTCAAATTAATTAAATATTATCGAGAAAACACTGCCGTCAGCACTAAAATAATATAGGTACTATTATATTACGGTCACATTATAATAATATAAAGCCTGTTATATTGTTTTGATGTAATATTATCGTACGCGTGGTACGCATTATAATAATAATAACAACATAATATAGGTGGCTTTTACACGGGTTTTATAGGCGTTTTGTTCCGCTTTCGATTTTGATCGGCTCTCGCGCGATCCGCCAGCGGAGGATACATAATTATAATATTATACATAAAGGTGAGGTACACACATACAGGAGGGCTATATAGCGGGCGACGCGATCAATCGGTTGTGTGTGTGTGAGTGTGAAGGGTGCGGGCACACGTGTAACCGCTTGGGAGCGCGTGCGTGTGCGCGAGTTGCGTGAAATAACCCTCACGTCCCCGGTCGAAGGGACGGTGGAACAAGGCGGTCCGGCGCGGGCCTATCGGAACTCTCGAGGGGGCCGATGACGGGTCGGCAAGCGGTGGTGGAAGGTTGCGCGCCGGTCCGGAAGGCCTGCCCAACCACCCCTCCGCCACACCGACACCGTTGGTCGTCCCGTTGTGGCGACGGCGATAGGGCGCCGCAGCTGCTGCAGTCGGCGCGTATTGCACAGTTGCAGACTTGAGGGACGAGCGACGGTGGTGGTTTGGTGGATAGCCGGAGGGTCGGTGGAGGCGGTGGGGTGGGCTCCCTCGCTGTTCCCGGAAAATCGGCGGCCGACGCGCGTAACCGGATTTCGATCGGTCGGCGACGAGGGTGGCCCGCCACCGCCGATCACGCGCGCTCGCGAAAACAAAAGAACCGGCCCGCGGCCAAACTTAATTTTTATGTTGTTATAATTATTATTATGCGTATTATTATTTAGGCACATGACGTTCCCGCCCGGAAACCTCTGTATAACGGACACCTCTACAAAGATCGAAATAATGGGCGATGGGTTTGTAGAAACTCTTACGACAATACTCTTAAAATGTTGTATCATAAGACAGTTATAGCTCATATTATATTATTATTGTTTCGTCTTAAATACTAAACAATATTCCTAATGGGTCAAGAATAACTGATAGGTACCACAATTTTTAGTTTAAATATAGATCAAAGTTTTCAACCACGACCATTTTATTTTATATTTTCTAAAATAATAATATGTGATGAACCTATTATTACTAACCATTCCGTAATAACCTTTTTACTTCGGAATCATATTATTATTAGGCAGTTACTGTTTTTCGAATAGGCAACCAAACATACTAAACGGCTTATGAATATAATGTTATAATATTATTATGTAACACAACAATATATTGTATACAGAAAATACCACTGATCACAACATAAATTTAATTTACGTGAGGTGCCTAAATAATTCATTTTAATAATTTGATTATAAATTTAATTGTTTATTGAAAATAATTATTATTAAAGTTTCACATTGTATTGGTCTAAAAATATGCCTTTAAATTAAAATAAGTATTTTTACTCATTAAAAATATGAAGGTAAACGACAAAATATAATTTACAAAAAAATGTTGAATATATGTATATTATGGACCTCGAGGGTTATGCTTTAAATTCGGTTTGAGTATAAAATGTTATATTTATGCTCTTAAATCACTTCATGAGGAAAAAATAGTAATTTAAAGAAGGAGCGACGATATAATATTATGTTTCAAAGGTTGATACGTCTGTGTGCGTGCTGTCCTTTTATGTGTTAAAAAAGCAAGTTAAACGCAGCGTATATAATTGCGCGTGGAATTTTTCTTAAAAAATAGTAGATGTAGATTGAATATATACATATTAACACAATAATGGAAATATTGAGAAAAAATAGAGGGAAATATTTTTAAGTTTTTGGTAAAATTAATTGCTTTCCACGCTGTATTCTAATATTTTTTCGATAAATGCCTTCCTTAATACCCATTTTATTATAAAAAATAATACCTTCCTAGTGACTGGGTAAGTTCAAAATAATAAGAATTTATAATAATATATAATCGTGTAGAGTTTAATCGTATTATTCCATAGTGAATTTAGCATAACTCGATTAGTTTTAAATATAAATGAATCAATACCTACAACTGCAGATTGTATGTATAGTGTATACATTTTGTAGTTACTAATTAATCTATAAATTTAAAATTATTGTTTTAATATAGCGAGAAGAAAAGAAGAAAAAACTTTGTTTAAAAGTTTTTTGACAATACATATATAATATAATGTATACACGTATACTTTCATAAAACGTTTATTCATCACTTCGCTGAAATCGTTGGATATAATAAAAACAATAACCGTACCTATAATAAAAATAATATCATCAGTGTAGCCTGCAAAGTTCAGTTAAGAATACGAAGGGGTGAAAAGAAAAACTGATTAAAAACTCTCAAGCTCCAATAAACTTTATTATACAAGATGATTTTTTTAACTTAAAATCATAATTATATTCTCAGTCATTATATTATAATATTATATATTTTAATTGTATGACTAATATTTTTAGATAAACATTCAGAATACAAAAATATGAATACGAAGTCAATAAACTATAGGGCACCAAAATGCAAAATGAACCTACAATGTAAACCAATGTCTTTGTAAAAACATTATTTAACTTGAAGTCCGTAATAACTAATAAGTTATCCTCCCAACGCTTGCTTAAGCTTTAATTGGAAAACATTTATTTCAAAAACACTGAATGCGAATGATAAAATAATGAAGAAAAATCGTCTCACATTAGATAAAATATAAATAAAATAATCGACCGATCTTTGCCGGCGGTGCTCACCTCTCCTCTGGATATCGTCCCTGGACACGGCGGTGAGTGAAGCCGTGGTGGCCGTGGCCAGCGAAGCGGCCGCTGGGTTTCCCGGATGGTGGCCAGCCGAGCCGACCAGTGCCGGGTGGTGCGGTGACGGCGCGCCGCCGTGCACGGGTGGGCCGCCAGCCGAAGGTGGTGGTGGTGGTGGCGGTGCTGCGTACCATGGCCAACCCGTTTGCCCGTTGAACATGCGAAGCTTGTCGTACACAGACTCTGCCGCGCCGCCGCCACCACCGATACCGCCACCGCCGCCGCTAAGGCCATTTCCACCGCCCGGCTGGTGCGTCGACGAGGCCTGGTGTTCCTTTTGTGCGGCCAAGTTCCTCAGCACCCGGTTGATGGACGACACCTGTGAAACACAATGAGTGGTATTTATAATAATGTGGCTGACCTTTATTTTCTCGTTACAGCTGACTTGTAGTGTATTGTGAATAATTTTGGGAAATGCGAATATTGTTATCATAATTTAAAATAGTAACCATTATTATAATATATAATAATATGATGGAGTAGTTTGGAAGTCGAAGGAATAAATATTAAGTCTCCCTAAAATACATGTGTACCTTTGAGTCCTTCCAAAATGATATTCTCTAAAATGTTCGGATAGTACCAAACTTAACACTATTATTTTGTCCTAATATATTAAATTTTGATTAATATATGTGGGACTTAGTTCAGATCAGATATTAATATTAAAATTGTCTAAGTTATTTGCGTCGAATATAGTCGTTGATAATATCGATAAACCCTTTATAATACGTAACACTTGTCCTATATATCACCTATATGAGGTGATTTTATATTTTTATTTTAGATTTAGCTCAGTTATATCATACATTTTTTAAATATCGTTAACTGTGAATAATAAACTGTGACATGATATAAAACTGTGTTGCTTCATGAACGCTGCAGGAATAACGTGACGTCGTGACCCATCCAAAACAGCTAGCACTGTTTTGAATTTAATTTTCGTGACAATGATCTGGGTTATTGTTATTAGTACTTATTACTACTACTATTATTATTATTATTATTATCGTCGTCATCGAGTGCAATTATTATTATTGTTACGCTCAGTCGTGTATTATATTCAACGTGCGTACGTTTTGATTATCGCGTGTAAACACGCGTGTTATAATATATATATAGATTGTGCGCGTAGAGTGAAGAGACGCGGTCGACTGGAGAAATCGCTGCGACGGCGGTGGCGGTGGGAGGAGGAAAAAAATTTGTTTTAATCAGTTCGCATGCATTGTCCGTGCGCAAATCGGTGTGTTAATTTGGACAAATGCAACGGCGGCGGGACAGGCCGAAGGGTGGCATCGACCGCTGCCGCCGCCGCCGTATAATGAAGTATTGGCTGGCCAAGTCATTGAGCAAACATAATAAAACAAACATTTTGCGCTAAAGGAAAGCGTTTAGAAAAAATAAAAAGGAAAACAGGGTCGACGGGGTTGTTGCGTGTACACTGCAATATTTTCTAGTTGTTTTATGTGCAGTAATTGCGAGCTTTTTAAAATTAAAATTGAAAGAAAAGGGGGATGGAGAATATTTGTTTGTTTTTCAGCTCCGCTAGTAACCAGAGTTTCTTTTATTCGTCTCTACTATTTTTATTTTTATAATACATATTATTACGCGTACCTCCTATACACACCTCTATACACCCATACACCAACAAACCAGAGACATTTTATGCAGACCTAGAACCGTGCAAGTATTTTGCTAAATTACGTATTATTGTTTAGAGCTTTAATTTTGCAAACTTCAAAATAATTCTTCAAAAATAATACAATTTTAATCGTTTATTTTTTTAATTATATTATACCATTATTTGAAATAAAATAAAAAATTAGAGCTTGATGCGGCCCGTAGGAAGTCTTCTTCTTTAAGATGAAAAATTGTTATTAAAATCCGACAATTCTCCTAGGCCTGAGAATTATTTCCGTGAAGTAATTTTTTTCGATGTAATACACCCTATCAAGCCCCTCTAAATATTTATCCGACAGTAGATTAGTGAAAACGTATTATAATTAAAGTGGAAACTAAAATATAAAATTTAATTTTCATATTTTATAGAATTGCGGAAAATTTAAAAAACTGGCACCTTAGCTGCAGCCGAGTCGGTCGGGTTGACTCGGCGACATTAAAGTAATTTCAGAACCACAGTCACGATAGACGTCAGGTTTGACGAAAATTCTAATCTGGTTACGACACGACTTCCGCAGCGGGGTATGTGGATATATACGCTGCAACATCCTAGTCGGAGAGACGCGCTCGGAGGCGCTATGTACCCTCGACGTAAGGGAGGGAAAAAAAGGAATTACTCATATATATATACATACATACACGAGAGAAGAGTGAAGGATAGTGAGTTTATATACATTACTATATGATACTGGTTTATCATATATATATGTAGAGGGTGGCCCGAAAGACTAAAGGTTTTTGGACCGTGAAACGCGTCGTACTCGTTAAGTGTAATTGCGTTACGTAAACGGCTGCGTAAGTCTGCGCGCGAGCTCTCCTCTCCGCTCCGCTTTCTCGGGGGCTCGCGAGCGTCGTGTCGCCTCGACAACCAATCGACGGAGGGGTGGCGAGTCGTGTAGCGGCGGGGGTTGTATACGCCGAATACATATATATACACACGGGGTGAATTGCCAGTGACAGCGGAGACATAAATCCTACGGGATAAAAACAACGCGGACCCGGCAGGCAGAGATGTGTATATATATATAATATATACTAGCGGCAGTTAAATAACAAGTGTAATATACGAGGTCGCGTATCCGCCGGCGGTGGTAGAGGAGAGGTAACGAGCTTCAGCAGTGGGGCGGCCGCGCGTTCAGCGAAAATTAACAACGAAAGACCACCATTTTACTGCCTCCGGGCGGCGGCTTCGTCGTGTACATATTATATAGTATATATGGCTATACTCGTCAAGACGTACGTATATAATATATGTGTGTGTTTGTGTGTGTGTGTGGCTCTCGAGACGAACGTTTTTCGTTTAAATTGTTTTTTTTTTTTTTTACCAAAACCGCTTTCGAACCGGCAGAGAGATTCTTGATGCCTTTTTCATAATTGAAAATTAATACATTTTCATAATTATATTATTAATATAGAATTAGGTGCGCAGCCGGCAGTAAACCTAATTGATATTGCGTAGGTATCTGCTTTGTGGAAAAAAACTCTTCGTCGGAATATTTGTGATGCATACCTATAAATATCCACAATATGCACTTATATATTATATTATTATATAAACGGAAATGTGTTTGAAATCGAACCGTTATATTACAATTCCGATAATATAATGTTTCTCGTGTAGGTACCTATGCTACGAGGGGTAAGTTTTGACAGAAGCCTATATATATAATATTATAAACCTAATATATGTATTATATTGCATGTAATTTAGTGGCGGATCGGATGGTTTTATAGTGCACAGCAGTTAATGTTTAATAACATCGTATAAATTATTAAAACAATTTTTCGCCTCATTAAATAATAAAAAAATGTGATATGAGAAATAAAAGTAAAAAACTTTATAAAAACAATTTATTGTGTAGGTAGTAATAAATGAAAACAAAAAAACCATAAAGTGATTAAAGCTGACGAAGAACGATGGTACGTATAAAAAATCAAAATAATCGTACGCTTTTCATATTTTTTAATTATATTTTCAGTTCCTGCAACGAAATATGTCCAATATTAGTGATAAAAATAGGAGAATGTACCAACCCATGTTATATTGTTATGTAGGTACCTTTATTGTCCGAGCATTGTGCACATAAGTCATAACGAGTAACGAGTAATATTAATAGTTAAAGTAGATCATTGTCATTTATCAGAAAACAAATTTCTTAGAATTCGCAGATTCTTATAAAATACTAGCTGATCCCGTGCACTTCGTCGCCCGTTAAATGGATCAACTCAATACTACCTACTCAAACTTTGTTCAATTCATTAACGTGTATGGTGTTCAAAATTTATCTTATCTTTCCCGTTGCCCTGAATAAAAATTCTGAATCGCAGCAGTACATTATCAGGTAGGCAATCTACCTGCGGTAGATCGCGGACTCCGTGCTGTTTGTACGGAAGTGTATGATTTAACTCTAAAGTATCAAAGTTATACCAAGTTTATTTTGATGTAATACTGTGGATTAATATAATAAATTTGGTTGCTCGTAAAAAATCGCAACTCTTAAAAAAATTATGATTGTTGAACTCCTTTTGGGTGTAATTTTCTGCGGTAAGTGCAACTCTGCCACCCTGGTAAGCATTGTTCAATAATTCGATTTGATGCAAGCTTGTACCTGATCTTCCCGAATAACCAATGGCAACCAATAAATAAATGCTAATTTCTAATGTAGACTGTAACCAATGGCAACTATAAATAAATAAAAATAAAATTTCCAATTTCTATCGTGAATCTCAATGTCCCTGTTTCAGCACCTATTTAAAATGCGAATTTTGGCAAATCCTTTCTTAGCGCACGTCTATATTATAATAGCTATCTGTATGCCAAATTTCAGCCAGATCCGTCCAATGGTTTGAGCTGTGCGTTAATAGCAGTCAATCAGCTTACTGTTTTTTATATACAGATATGGTTGCCATGGTAATATGGACACACACACACACACACACACACACACACACACTGACATACATTCATTTTTATATATATAGATTGATATGAAATCTTGGTAACCTTAGTAACCATGGCAACCTTGGTAACCATGGTAACATGGACACACAGACACACAGACACACTGACACACTGACATACATTAATTTTTATATATATAGATTAAAATGCAACCTGATCTAGGTCGTAATGTATATAAGAAAAACAATAATTTTTTTATTTATTTGTCATATATTATAACTTTTATTTTTCATTCTTATCTTATATTATAGATATTAGATATCATTCGTTAGGTAATTCAGGTAATTTTTTTATTCCATCTTGAATCTGCAAACTCATATCTGCTTTATTTTTTTGTTACTACCAAGTACCTATGTCATAACTTATAATTTATATTTTACATGTAGGTACATTCTTATTTAACAGACTTATCTATTTTCAACTTTTAGTAGGTAGGTATTTCATAGACGAATATTGCGTTGTTTGTATACTAATACCAGTAATACCTATAATGTGTATGTCTTATGTCTATAAATATTATATTACATCGGTAACAGATCAGCTTTAGCGTTATGTTATATAGTGTTTTATCCAGAAAAATATTTCCAGTACAATGAAGACAAATTATGTTATATTATATTAGGACCACCACAGGTTACGTTCGAAGGTGGAGGGGACTACATTTTGGTCTTTTAGGAATT